ATTTTATATAACTTATATCGTTACAAATTTATCAATCTATCAATAATGCCTTACAATTTTAGTGATTGCTAAATTACTTAATTAGTTATCTCGATTAATGTAAAAGAATCACACCTGGGGCTAGTTGTAACATGCAAAAATGATATTGTCTGGCATGTGGTAAAGCTTATACAGATTCAAATGAAAAAGATTGGATTGTGGGCACATATAAATTGTATTGTAGGAGGCCTTAGGGGGAAGTCCCGTAACGCCGGACGGCACCTAACGCCGGACACTCTATTCAACACGTAGTATTTAAGCAAGTATAAATCTTTTTATTTAAAAATGCAAGTGAAAGGGGCGCGGGGGGCACACAGGTGCCAAGGCTCATCTGTGACGCACACGGACACGTCGAGAGCAACCCTTTCCTGTTTTAGGCGCAAAATCACGGCGTCACCTACATAACAATGGAAGTAATTCTAATATATTTATGCATTTACATTTGAGTGGCATTCAAAGATAAAAGTAGTGCTTGATTGTTATCCGTTAAATGGTAGAATATTGATAAATATTTTGAACAATTTTATTAGGTACCACCAAGTGAACAAACATGTCAGTAAACATGAGAGTAAACATATTGATTGACGTAATTTATTCTAATTATTTAATTTTGTTCTGTATGAGTGTTAACGGTCACAACATACCCCCATTTTTCGTATTTCCTAGTCAAAAAATTGAAAATCTAATTATGAATGCTCCAGATAAGAGCATCGGTGTGGCCCAGCCAAAAGGGTGGATAAATAGTGATTTTTTTTCAATATCTAAGAACATTCGTCAAACACACATGTAGAGACATTCCTGAGTGTGGAGATGGCTACATATGTTCAATGCTGGTTATTTCGAAATGTCCGGTACTAGGTGCCACTTTGTAAAATCATATTTTTTGTTACCAAAGTTTGATTGATAGTATTATTTATTTTTTAGCAAAGGTTACGTTTTTGTTAATTTAGTTTGATTTCTATCTTTGTTATCTAACGTAAGTCATAATTTAATAAACATTTCGTAAAATATTTTTTGATTTATTTATAAGTAACCTTAGGTGTGCGGCACTCGGGGACTTCTCCCTATGTACATACATAAGGAAGTGCTAATTTCTTAATAAACATTATTATTACTAAACATTATTAATTTTAAAAAAACTATCCCGTATATGTGTCTTCCTACCAAAGTTTGAAACGACTTAACGAATATATATTTGAATTTACCGACTAGTTGATGAAATACACAGATTTTTAAACGAGCAAATGCGATAAGCCTCTTCCGATACAAGTAAAAAAGAAGATGCACAATAAAGAATGCTTGCACTGCCGTTTTAGCAGTCAACAGTCGTACAGAAGAGATAAGTTTCAGTAAACATTACCATTTGACACATGCAACACTTCATATCAGACAATGTTGCATTTTTTCTAGAAAAATAAAGATGTTTATATTTTAAATGATTTGTGCACATATTTATGTGAGGCTGCGAATAATACAGCTAGAATCTTATGAAAAATATTGATCAGTATAAAATAAACCTGGGTAAAGTCCCGTAGGATAAGTTATAGTGATCGCCAAAAAAATGATTTTTTTTTATATATTTTTACGTTTTAGGACATTCTGAACATTTTGGCATACCTTAGAAAAAATAGATGTATGTGTGTGTGATTATGTGTGTATGTTTGGACATAATTTTTCGTTCACGATTTCAAAAGCACGGATCATCCGATTTGAAAAATTCAAAAATACATTCGATTGCTATTGATGGGGAGACAAGCTGGTAATACAATTTTTCGACCACAATTTCGAGAGCACGAATCATCCGAATTGAATGATTCAAAAAACATTCGATTGCTATTGATAGGGAGACGTGCTGATAAGTTTTTGGCAAAGACAGGTCCGACTGTTTCGAAAATACGGGGTAAAATAATACAAGAATGGCAATTTTGATAGAATGGAACGTCCGATTTGAATGATTCAAGAAACATTGTTTGCATTGATATAATGAAGAATTGGTTAAATTTGTGGAAAGACAGGTCTAACGGTTTTTGAGATTAAAAGAAAAAAGTTAAAGAACGCTATTTGGCGGTTAAAATGATCATTAGACTTATGCACATCAAATTATAAGATATTTTATGAAGATTTTAATAATAGGTACGAATTTTGTTTACATTTCTATAGGCTCCGTACCAAAATTTATAATGTTTTGCTATTTCGTCTCTAAAACAGCTAAGCAGCGCGATTGCTTTGAAGAAATTTAAAAAATTTACGGTCCGGCAAGTTCCAGCAATTACGATGGCATGCTCCACTAGTTATCTGTTTTAATTATAAAAAAAATAAATAATCCTTCAAATGGAGCTTTTACTGTTTATACAATTTGAAAATCTGTTTGTTTATTTTTGTAGCAATCTTCTGATGAGAAGTTTATGATTAATTTTCAGGGTCTCCACGATAAGAATAAATATTGAGATGATGAATATCAAATGTTAACAAATCATGAATGAAATAAAAGCTACCCACATTCACATAACAATCAATCAAGTCAATGTTAAGCTGTTGGCCGTTGGAGCGGTTGTAAACAACGTTTGTGTTGAATGAGTGTTTAGCTGTTTAGTTCGTCTTGCTAGTACTTTACGAGCATTTATGTCGAGATCAACGAATAAGACACCGGGTTTGAACTTACCACGAAGAACATGTTAACAAAACAGCTATTATCGCATTAATAAAATGAATAACTAGTGGTGCGTGGCATCGTGCCTTAAAACAAGCTTCTGGAACTTCCCGTGCCGAAAGTTAAAATTTTTAAAAAAGATTTAATTTTTTTTGAAAACTTTGATAAAATTAGATTTTTTGGAATTTTTAATTTTTGAAATAACTGTCTTTTTTGAAAAGTTTGATTTTTTTTGCATTTTGAAGTTTTTTGAAAATTTTGAAGTTTTATAGACGTAACAGAAGTGCATAAGCGCCGAATCACAGTCTAACGCATAAACATTGATATGGAACTCATAGAAATGTAAACAAAATTCGTACTTCTTATTCAAAGTCTCTATAAAATATCTGATAAATTTATGTGCACATGTCTAATAATCATCTTCAACCGCCAAATAGCTATTTTGTTAACTTCCCGTAGGGCAAGTTTTAGTAATCGCAAGAAAATCGAAAATGAAAATTTTTATATATCTTTACGTTACAAAACCTTCTGAACATTTTGGCATACCTTAGAAAAAATGGATGTATGGTGTGTGTGTGTGTGTGCGTATGTGCGTGTATGTATGTGTGCGCGGATACAAATTTTCGTCGACGATTTCGCGAACACCTATCAATCGATTTGAATAATTCAAAAAACATTCGATTCTTATTGATAAGGAGACGTGCTAATTAGTTTTTAGCAAAGGCAGGTCTAGCCGTTCCGAAGATACGGGGCAAAAAGTGCCAAAAATGGTAACTCAGTTTTTAAGAGAATGGAGCGTCCGATTTTAATAATTAAAAAAAAATTAACTTGTATTGACAAGATGAAGAATTGATCAAACGGAGATCTAATGAGAAAAGTAAAAAAAAAAAATTTTATAAAGATTTTAAGAATAAGTATAAATTTTGTTCACATTCCTATGGGTTCCTTACCAGTGTTTATCCGTATGAGGGCGACGCGGCGCTTACGCGCTTCGATATTTCGTCTCTATGCAGTTAAAGCAGTACGATTGCTTTGAAAAAAGTTCAGAATTTTCGAAATATGTCAAAATAATAAAACATTTTTTTTCAATAAATTTTTTTTTTCAAAAAAAGTAATTTTGTGTCAAATATATAGTTTCTCAAAAATCTAAATTTTCAGAGTAAATTTTTTTCAAAAATGTTAATCTTTTAAAAAAATAATTTTTGGTACGGGAAGTACCAGCAATATGCCTTAAAGCACGATGCCATGCGCCCCACTAGTTTACATTTTTTATTGAATCTCCAAAACCGCTAGACCTGCCTCCCCAAAAATTTAATTAGTTCTTCATTTCATCAATACAAGTATAATGCCAAATTAAAAATGTACATCTTCAGGAGGATGTTTCGATAAAAGTGAGATATGTTTGGGAGTAGTATGAAGTAGTAAAGATATTTGTGTATTAGCATGCTTTACTGTTAACATATTTAAATAAATTGTAAGGCCGCCGTAAAGTCATATTATATATGTATATTATATTCCACACACAAAAGAAATGAATGCAACTATCGAGAGTTTCTATTCCGTGCCGGTCACGACACAAAACTACATAGAACCGATACAAATAGGTTGACCAAACCACCAAACATTAAAATGATCCGTCCTCACATATGTTTGCAATCAGATCGCTGTCACTCTCTAAAATATAAATACCCCCTCGGTAGATTACTACGCACACGCCTGTTCCCCTTTGCCTGATGGAAACGGACGGCACGACCGAGCGGACGAGGCTGCGCGGATCTAGGTTCTGTTTACACTACTTTGCCGGGAGAATCGAATAATAGAGAGTGCAGCGTGCGAGGCCGAAAGTCTCGTTACTTTGGTTCTCTGTCGCTATACATACGAGAAAGTGCGCGTGTATAACATAACATATCGAACTATGGAAGCATACCATTCGTTCGAACTTCAATATTGACCCGTAACGCGCGTCGCACGACCACCAGCGCAGTCGGACGCGTACAGATGTACGAAAGCTCACGCACACGCTCGCACCGGCACAACGCCACACACGCCGATGGTTCGAGAATATTCCGCACAGAGGGCGGCACTGTTCGTTTATTATGCTACAACCAAGCAAATGAAACCATGACATATTCTGCGGTGTCCTTCTCAGACGAACGACCTGAGGTGGTGGTAAGACGAGGACGGCGCATCCTCGTCAATGATCTCGAACGCTCTGTTGCACCGTATGTGTGCCACTAATGCACGTGACATTTACAATCGGGGCATGTGACACGAGCGTCGATATAATTAAGCCTTTATTCATATGTCGTACCTTGGATTTCTTCACGCGTTGCACGTTTCTCAACAGCATTATTCGTCGTCGCAGTCCGTTTTGTCGTCTCTCGTACGGAACGCCAGAACTTTCCGACATTCCGGTGTCTTGGCGCATATTTTCATATTGCACTCATATCTTCGGATAGCTTCGCACAAAAATCCTGTTCATGTAGTATTATTCCGTACCTATTCCGAAAAAAACAATGCCGCTACAGTTCTATATGCACGCACACACGCGCATCATATATAAATTTATTATTTATCTACGCGGTACGTGTACATGTGCACCCATACAGGCGC